ACGCTTCTCTTTTTTTCAGGGTAAACCCTTTCCAGTTCTCTGTCCCCTCCTAATCAATACTTTATTTTTCTTCTCGGCAAATAGTTTCCGTAGCAACCAGCACTTCATAGGATCAAGTACCACACACTTCTGAGACAAATGCTTTTATGGCTTTTCTATTACAGAACATTGTGGTTTAAAATAACTCAACAGAAAATCAACAAGGATTAAAAGCAAAAATGTAATGAGGTTTCATTATAGAAATCGAATCTGAGCACATCTGAGCCCAACAGTGCTGCTGACAGCACTTGGCAAATTTTATGTTTTTAAATCTCTCTTTTCCTAAGTAAATCCATAGAAGCAGCCCAGGAATAAAGGTTCTGATTCTCTGACACAGTTCCTGGCATTTCACTGGACTGGTCAGGGACAAAAGATAAGAGTTAAAAACAGGGGTACAGGCCTTTAACTATTTATATCAGATGAGTTTTTTATTCCTGGCACTCTAAATGTGACAAGGTTTCGTCTCCTGAAAAGTCAGGACAAATCAGGTACCTCTACAAATGTACTCCTGTTTATAACTTCTGAAATGTATCAAATCAGGATGTTAGATAAGTTATTTTCACTAACTGTAAACGAGAGAAATCTAATGATTTCGTGAATTCAAATTCCCACATGTTCAGATATGTCCAATATTGAATACTAGAGTGAAGAGTCACCAGGTGTCTCTAACCACAAACCCGACATCTATACTGAGGTGTTTAGAAGACATCTCAAAATATAAGGCTATAATGCTTTTCTTCAAGACAAGCACCGTATCTTAGGACGCAGAATCACTTTACGTGTATTTCCCATATCATCTCACAGAACATTAATAAGAAGTGTAATCGAAGTTTGAAATGTAATAAAATTAATGACCTGTGCAGCTTCGATCAAGGGCATTATTAAGGGAAACTGACTTTTTATTTCCTTAGCTTGTTTACGTTATTATTTACTTTACTGCAAATGCATGGTAATGAATACCATGTCTTACTGCCACAGTCTATCGCCACAGCCTCTACTCATAGTGTGTGTCAGCAGTTTTACACACCATTGTTTTTGCACCATTAGAGCAAAGTTGATACAGAGAAAAAAAAAAGCAAATAAAAATGTAGTATTACCGTGGAAATAGCTTTGACCCCATATGCCACTGCCCAGGGGTCTGCAGCCCCCAGTTGGGAGAATTGATGTTCTAAAGGGCGGGTCCCACTGGCGCCTCTGGGCCCAGGCAGCACAGGATCCAGGTCCACGAAATACAAAGAACACTGGGTTCCTCTTCTAACACCACCGAACCATACAAACGCAAGTTTCTTTAATGTGATCTGGCTCATTTAGTAGTTGGTAAAGAGGAAAATGGTATCAGTATAACGCAGAAGTTGTGTTGGTTCATCTTTAATTTTTCCCCAACACATTAATGTTATGA